CTATGAAAATCAACATAGGAATTAGACTTATCACAAGTCTTATTCCATTGTACCGTACTTATAATATGTACTCACCTTAGCCTTGTTTTGACTCGATTCTAATCCTTCAATTGTTTCGGAACGAGATTACGTTCTAAATCTACATAGTAATACATTGATACATATAAGTATACTAATTGATATATTCTAAACTATCACTTCTTAGGCTAAAAAAAGCTATTTTTATCTTTTAATAAAGGTATGCATCGATGCACTACACCATGTATCGATGCATCCCTTGACGGGTGCATCGATGCACTATCTATGCATCGGTGCATAAATCCCATTCGATGTTTGTATTTTAAGCAGGTGCATCAATTTACTCCTTATGCATCGATGTACTAATTGCATTCGATATTCATTTATTTGAGAGTGCATCGATACACACAGCCCATAAATTGTATTTTAAGCCCGAAAATCATCATTTCTTCACTCAGTTCTTCTCTTTTAAACCCCTATCATGTCATTAAACTCAACTACCATTACTTAAACCAACTTATATTCATATAAACAATATTTATCTTCCATATCTCATCATGATTCTTAAAATTTAAGAATCTTACTAAACTTTCAACTTTGTTATTAATCCTTTCTAACTTCATAAATCTCTTATTCTTATTGATGGCAAGTCAAATTCAACTTTCAATTCTTATTATAAACTCTATTTCAATATTTCACTCAAGAAATCCAAATATTTAATCTTCCCTAACTCCTTTATCTTTTAATTTTAAGATAACTTAAGCTTTCCTTAAGCTTAGTTATCATTAGGGATGACAATCGGGGTACAATTTCGTGGATTCTGCACCGTACCCGCCCAGGATGGTATAATTTTAGTGGGTAGTGGGCAGGTGTGGATTTAGAAAGTGGTACCTGTCGCGGGTAGTGGGCGGATAATGGGTTTGAGACCTTACCCGCCCCGCATCCACACCGCATCCACCCGCCCCGCATCCGCCTACCCAACTAATATCCATTAAATTTTGGACCATTATGAATTTAGGTGTAATTTTAAGAGACTAATTTATAAATCCTAATATTGTATAAGATATAACTTGTAATTTAACCAAATATAAAGGATAAGTTTATGCATAAATTTTTTTCTTTCAAACCTCTCGTTGCTGCGCCGATCTTTCAAACCTCTGGTCTCCAGCTTATTCAGGTACGTTTCTTCCCTTTTTACTTGAAATTTAATTTTTGTAAGAGTTATTTCCATAGTCATTTCGTTTTAAGCTCCTCTACATTTCGTTTTAAGAGTTTAATTTTTATTTGCTCGTACTGATTTTTAATTATTTTTTAGATTCATCTCAATGTTTGTTTTAAGCTTAATTTCTTAATGTTCTACAAATCAGTATCTTGTGACTGAGCACCCACGTTTTAGGCCAATAGAGTCAGATCGTTGCTTCTCAAATATCCATTTTTAACGCCACTGAATAGAATTAAGTGTTTCACTCGTTCTTCTCAAACCTCCATTTTTAACGCCATTGAAACTGACTTTTTCAAATTCAAATTTCAACCGAGTATTTTGCAATACTAGTGTTTTATGAGAATGATGATTGTAATACTGGAGTATCAGATGTCACAAGTATTGCCTGAAATTTTAGAATGTTGTACCAAAGAACAAAAACATTAAGTGTTTGTCATTTATGTTTCTAGACTTTAATTATGTCTTTTTATTATGGTGTTTTATGTACTTTAAGATCTATATTAACACTTAACTCAGATAATCCTTGATTTATTTTATTATGTTTCTTAATAGATGTGTTTGTTTTATGTTTGTTGCTTTGCCTCCTGGTATGTTGATGGCTCACCGTCATCTGTTAAAAGGCAATATGCAATATTACCTTCTATAACATAATCTGAGTGCCAATTGGGACGTCTTCTCACACGATCTGATTGACGAGTTGTTGGAGCTTCAGAACTCTCTGGTTCTTGTTCATCATGTGCTGGTTCTGCTTCAGAAAAATCTCCTTGTTCAAACTCTTTTTCCACATGTATCTGAGTAGTCTCTGACTTTTCAGCTCTTTCATCGTCTTATTTTCTTTGTAGTTTATCTTCTACAAAGATAACATCTCTACTGATGATCACTTTGCGGGCAGTGAGATCCCACAAGCGATACCCCTTTACTCCATCAACATACCCCAAGAATTTGCATTTCTTGGATTTTGGATCCAACTTTGAAATTTCTTGGAAGTTGTACATCACGTACACTATACTTCCAAATACATAGAGGTTTGAATAATCAGCTGGTTTTCCAGTCCACATCTACATTGGTGTCTTCAGCTTTATTGCAGTTGATGGAGCTCGATTCACCAAATAACAGGCGATATTGACTGCTTCTGCCCAGAATGATTTTTCTAGGCCTGCATCCCTCAACATTGCTCTTGTTCTTTCTAACAAGGTTCTGTTCATCCGCTCTGCCACTCCATTTTGTTGAGGAGTGTTCGCCACTGTGAACTGTCTTTTGATACCTTCTTTCTTGCAAAATTCATCAAATTTTTCGCTTGTGTATTCTTCTCCATTATCTGTTCTGAAACACTTGATCTTATTTCCAGAATCAAGTTCCACCCGCGCTTTAAAGTTTTTTAAAGTTGAAAACACGTCTGACTTCTTCTTAATAGGGTACACCCAACATCTCCTAGAGTAGTCATCAATAAATGAGACAAAGAATTTTGCTCCACATAGGGATGTTACTGGTGCTTGCCATACGTCAGAGTGAACCAATTCTATAACACTTTTGCCTCTAGAATTTGATGTGTTGAATTTCAACCGGTACTGCTTACATGTTATGCAATGCTCACACAAAGTAAGTGATACCTTTGTTAAACCTGAAAGTAGCTTTTGCTCCACAAGGACTTTCATTCCTTGTTCTGACATATGTCCAAGTTTCTTATGCCATAGCATTGCAGAATCTGAACTACATGAGGCAACAGAGGCTTCTGCTTCTAGCAATGTCTCTCCTTTCAGCATATACAAGTTTGCAACTATCTTTTCACCTTTCAACACCACAAGCGCTCCACGGAACACCTTCATGATTCCTTTCCGTGTTTCAATCTTGCTAGCATTATTATCCAACAATCCGTAAGATAATAAATTTTTCTTCAGGCCTTTCACGTGCCGCACATCTCGAACAACTTTAATTGTTCCATCATACATCTTTAATTTAATGGTTCCCACACTAACGATCTCTAAGGCATGATTATTGCAACTATACACAGATCCTCCTGAGACATGTTCATAATGATGGAACCATTCTCTTCTTAAGGTCATGTGATATGTCGCTCCCGAATCAATGAGCCATATATCTGCAAATCTTTTTCTGCCTTCCACGGTGGTTGACGCTTCACAGCATAGAGCGTCTCCATCATCTAAAGTGTTTTCGGTATTGCCTTGTGGATTGGAGTTTTTATTTAGACTCCAACAATCCTTCTTCAAGTGACCCTTCTTTCCACAGTTGTAGCACTTTATATTCTTTTTGCTCCTCGACTTCGATCTACCATGTTTGTGACTGCTGCTTTGGCCACGTTCTGTTGATCTCCCTCTCATCGTTGTCAACGCTTCTGCTTGTTGCAGATTTACTTGTCTGTCTTCCTTGTTCTTACGCCGATTTTCTTCTTGTAGAACAGTAGCTGCAACGTCATCGAAGACTAGACTGGTGACATTACTGTTTGTCAAGTTGATGATGAGTTGATCATACGAATCCGGTAGACTTCGAAGTAGAAGTTCAGCACGTTCTTGTTCTCCTATTTTACAGCTTAAGGATGTAAGCTGAGAAAATAAAGTGTTCAGTGTATTTAAGTTCTCCATCACTGAAGTAGATTCTGTCATACGGAGAGTGTATAATTTTCTCTTAAGGAAAATTTTATTGTGCAATGATGTGACCTCGTACAATTTGGTGAGATGATCCCATATCTCCTTAGATGTTTTCTTCTCCTCGATATTTGATAATACTTCATTTGCTAATGCTAAATGAAAGTTTGCCATAGCATTTCCGTCCATTTTGATCCATTTGTTGTCGTCTGTGAAATCTATTGGTCTTTTGCTGATAGCTGCTAGATAACTGTCTTTCCTCAGGATGACATTCATCTTCAATTTCCACAATGAGAAATTTCTCCCATTGAACTTTTCAATATCAAATTTCGTTGTCATTGCTTCGTTTACGGATAGCTCCCACTATTTCACTATCGTGAATAGTTCTTTAGAACCTTCAAAGAATGGGTAATAACTTCTTATTTTCTTATGTTGGAGGATCCACCTTTTGGTGGCAACTACAAAGACAATAAGCAGATATTACACACTCAAATCTGGCTCGGATACCAATTGTTGCGGAAGACGGCTATCGGATAGAGCAAAATCGCAACTGATAATTTAAGAAAATAAAAATGAAGATAAAAAAGATACAAAATTTACGTGAAAAACCCCTGAATAATATAGGATAAAAACCACGAGCAACGGTAGAAGAATTTCACTATGAGAGAATAGAAATTATAAATTCTCTCGATCGACCAAGGAGAAAACAATGATAATTCTCTTTTGATAAAAATGAGAAAACAACTCTTAAGAAACTCTCTAAATTCTCTCTAGTATTGGAAAAAAGCTAGAATACTTTGGGATGATTTTGAAGCTAAATGAGCTAAGGTATTTATAGTTGAAACTTAAGGACTAATCTTGTAAATACCTTAAAGTTCAATGGCTAAATTTTGTGATTTTACCATTTCAAAATTCAACATTTTCAAGCTGCCTAACATAATCAATTTAACAGCCCCATTTGAATTTGTATAGCCGCCCATGATATTTTGACTTTCAACAGATTATTGGATGTCATAATAGGATGAATGGCGAACATAATGCACAAAGGAGGTCACAAACACATAAAGTACCGTAAAGAGGCTAGAAACCAAATTTATACATTATTGCAGTAGTAGTTTGTGTATAAACTGCTAGAATGATTAGTGGGGAAGACCTACTTCAAACAAAAAGGTAAATTTTATAACATGAAAAATCCAGGGACCATCACAGATGTCCAGTTACTATCAATACACCCAGTCGCTACTGCTAGAGTCACCACATACACCAAACCCAAGATGAGGCATAAAGAAAGAACTTACCTAAATGAGAGAGACAAGGAGGATTCAACTGGTGTGTGAATTCTATTTTGATCAGGAGTAAGCAATGACCAAAAAACTGAGAATGAAAAGAACCCAGACAATTAGTGGTTAACACCAAATTCTAAGCAAGAAAGAAAGAAATAAATGGTGAACACTGTTGTTTGTGGGAAGTCCAACAAAAAAGGGTAAAATAAACTCAAATAAAGCACGGTATTCATATTAACGTTCAAAACAAAAGCCCATTTCTCAAACAAAAATGTTTTATGAATCATTATTGTACCTGATTGCTCTGGATGACTATTCAGTATCTCCTGCATTACGAAGGTCAGTAGTTAGCCATATTTCTTGAATGTTAATCGATGGGATCAAACATCAAAGATATATAATAGCCAAAAGCAACTTTTTTTAGTCTAATACTGCAAAGCTCACCTCTTTCATTTGTTGAGAGACATTATGGACCGCCTCTGCAGAAATAAATGAGTCAGATTCTTACTTTTGAAAAAGTTAACGCTTTGACATAGAACCAGAAGAAAGGATACAGAGAAAAATGTTACATGAGAAATGTTGCAATAAACGGAAATTTATCCATAAAAGTCATGTAAATAGACCTTCATAAACAATGATGTTTTTATTGGATCTTAAAATCAGATACCCATTAATGCTGACATTATTTCTAGGATTATCTACTTCCATATTTCCATGAATGTCTAAAACCCTCAGCATCCCCAACTACTTGAGGTAGGAAAGACATTCTAACTTCGACGACACCATCCACTACTCATCTAAAATCAACCAGAAGTTGTGAAAGGATGCCTGTTCATGCCACATTCATGTTTATGCAGTTGCTGACTAAACTTGACAGGAAACAGTAGCTAACAAGAGCAAACAGTCTACATAAGTCTGAACCATAAATGTTGGACATATGATAATACTACCTAGTTTTGAAACACTAGGTTTTACTGCTAGTGTCAGGCCCAGAAAACAATCATCAGGTTGTGTGTCAAAATCCCATAGATTCAACTCAAGATTTGGCTTTGACCCTGCAGAATAGTACAAGAAAGTGTTAATTGGTCAAACCAGAGAAAAGAAAGAGAATAGAAAATGTTATCTAATAGTCTTTGCACAGGTACTATAGTGATCTTCAAGACTCACCCAGGTTTAAACTCAGCTCAAGTGGATCATGCAGCAGTGGACGAGGAACACGAGCATCCACCTGTCCAGGGTTGTTTAGGACAATTGCAGTAACAAAAATACAAATCAGAAAAATAACTTCGCTAAATTAGTTTTATAGCCGATAAAAGAATCACAATACATACCATAATTAAATCAATAGCATCAAGGCTAGCACTGGGAATGATATCCGATAGGTTGGAAGGTAAAATCTGCCCAAAAGTGATGATGATAGATAATAGAATAAAAGTAAACATCAAAACGAAGCCGATAAAATGTAACTAACAAATAAATAAAACTACCTCTGAATAACTAATATTGATTAAACGAGAGATGTTTGTTGCTTCAGGAAAAGAAGTCCAATCTGGTGCACCCAAAACGCAGCATACCTTGTACGGTTGATCTATTTCACTGCCAAGTGGTGAGAATATTACAGTAAGGAAGAAAAAATCATGATAAGCTCTGGCATATGTCTTTTACTTAAGTGGCAAATGCTAGATAACAAAACTAGATACACAACACCTACAAATATTCTTATACTTCGGCAGCAAGTAAAGAATCGTTCTTAAAATAACAGAACTGCCAAGATTGTAACACATTATACATATTTATATTTATGCACCCCCTCCCACAGATGCATGCACGCACATTCATTTACATAGACATAACAGTATCCTCAAATATCTTAGGGTCATAGAACTGCCAATACTATTATATAGAAGGATAACAAATATTCCTCCCTCAACATCTATAGTTATGAATCCCCTAGCCATGAACGCATGCGCACACATTCATGTACAAACACAGAATGGTATGTATAAAGCGGAAAAAGAAGCATAGACTGAGGATGCTATGAGAGAATTTGCATAGAATATTTGGTTAGGGTGGAAACTTAAAGTGCCTAAAGCACAAACAAATACAAAGCAGAACAGAACAACATTAGAACAAACAAAGAACCACCATGCTGTGTTCATTTTTCTAGGAACACATTGTCAAATTACCAGTTACATACAGTCAATAAACTAGCAACTTTAAAACGTTGAAAGTATTGACACTAGCAATCATAATTACGGATCCAACAGAATTACCAGAGTCATGCGTCACAAGACATTCCAACAATATGTTACAGGAAACTTTATCAAAGTCCAAACTTGAATGCAATCTTGAGGAACATATTGAAGTTAGCATATACTATGCGTATAATACATGTTGGAACTACATGGTCACGGAATACAAGTTCTACACCAAAGAATTTTCATTGTTGTATGCATTTATATTCTGAAAAAAAAAATATTGTAAAACAAAAGAATTGCCTTAACGTCCACCAAAATTAAAAGAAAAACTCGGGATAATAAATAACCTTTCCCCGGGAAAAATAGGAGATGAAGTAAAAAGCTCTGCTAATATAGCACCAACAACCCACGTATCTGTAAATGTTATTATTATCAGGCAGCATTCAAGCCGAAAAAAATATTTGATATAGATAAACCTCAAAGTAACATTTAACTGAAAGAAAGAATGTCTAAATCAAATTGATGGAGAATACATTATCAGATGCAAATTAAGTTTTGGATTCGTACAAGAGTACCATAAAGCTACTAGAAGAAGATGCAGATATGTACATACACACACAAAGATAATTAGATCAAGTAATATCCACATACCAATAGCAGGAGTGTAGGTTGAAGACTGCAACAAAACTTCTGGAGCACGGTACCTGACAAAATTATCCCATGAATCATTAAAAGGGGAATGATACTGTATGAACAGGATATAATTACGAAGTAATCAGCGAGACAGCACCAACATTGAGTTAATGTAAAGAAACACGATTGCTGAGTAAATGAGATGGTATCCATCACACAATTACTCACCATCGAGTAGAAACATATTCTGTATAAGGAGGCATTGATGATACTTCTCTTGCCAGTCCAAAATCAGCAATTTTCAGAACATCCTTTGTCACCAGCAAGTTTTCTGACAAAGGAGATAGTTCACCATATGTAAATACACAATAACGACATGCAAATAGATGAAAGGAAGATTTACCAGGTTTCAGATCTCGATGAAAATATCCATTTCTATGCATGTGAGCAAGTCCTTGCAGCATCTGAGACATGAAGCTACGTATTTCCCATTCAGAAAAAGGGCTTTGTCGCTCCCTCATGATTTGGTAAAGATTATGTTCCTAGAAAGAAATGTTCAACCTCTTACAATCGAACTGAAAAGGGTTTCATTCAACTTAATGCTTGGTTACAATAAATAATTTATCACACAATGAATCCTACAGAAGTACACAACGTTGTATCGTTATATTTAAAGAAAACAATCACTTGAAGCCTTTATTACTAAAAGAAACTATGAGATTCTGTTGAAAGAGATACAATATTGAAGAACATTTGCTGTCTTTGGTATACGGGGGAGTAGGCAGCCAGCATCAGCACAACTCTTTCACTAAAATTAATTATAGAATTCTTAAAAAATGAGCCATGCATATATTTGGTTAATATAGGCCCCTCTTTGAAATTTTACAAGTTCAAACATTGTAATTAATTGAGCACATTCGTGGTACCCAAGCACTGGCATAGAAAATGATTACAAACTGGTATTAACCAAGGCAATGGCAATTACAATCCATGTTCCTAGCTCCAGCCTAATCATAGCCATATTCCCAAGCTTTGTGTTGACCAAAAATAATGAAAATAAAACAACTTAAATTATGAGAAGTTGGAAAAGCACCATGCTTTTGTAGAATAATGAGAAGTTGGAAAAGCACCCTTACCATGTACTCAAAAATGAAGAATAGTTCATTGTTTTCTCTGACAACCTCCTTTAGATTTACAATATTAGGGTGATTTAGTTTACGAAGGGCCTGCAGATAATAAATGGAACAAGCTCTTATGATTAAGGGTTATGTAAAAAGCAAAGGGCTCTTAACATTCAAGGAAATATTACAGCTTACCTTAACTTCTCTTAGATTCATGCACTCTTCCCAAAAGTAGAACTTTCGTTTCATTTTCTTCACAGCAACCTAGATTGAGAACATTTACAAAAAGCATGAGAAGCAACAACTCAAGGAAATTACACGTTAATAAATTCACTATTTTCTTGTTTAACTAAAGAAAGAGTATAAATTGGGGGGGGGGGGGTTTCATGCTGCTACCGGTAATAGACCGAGGTAAGTTTTCTAGTCCAAGTTCTTCCTTATCACCATTGTCACATCCTCATTGAGGAGAGACACCAGTATCATTTTCCAAAGCGAACCTTTCAACTCCCAAGTCATTCTAATCTTGTTTGCATATATATGTATACGCACAAACATAATATATACATGCTCCAAATTTATACTTGGAAGGGCTGCTAATATCTATATAGGCTCTAATATCTCATGTCATGCATATATACAACTACCCAGTTCTCTAGTTCTGTAAATTCAAAGTTGCACAGAGTTTCACCTCAGACATTTCATGTTCATTAGGATTTAGAGCTTTGAAATTTTTTTAGTAATAAACACCTCAAAATGCTTGTTAACCCTCCTGGTACAAGGAAGGGGGTAGTGATGGGGGTGGTGGTATAGGTGCATAAAGAGAGAGACACCATCGACAAACACCCTAAACTGTGGTTCGGACACCCCAAAATTAGCAGCTAGTAGGTAAAGGATTGAGTCAAGCTCACAAAGTGGCTTCAAAATTGATCCCATATTCATCATTTGCCATCTCCAAGACATTGAAGTCATTTCAATCATCACATAACATAAGACCAATGTACAAATATCCTGCTTGTGACAATCACAACTAGCAGCAACTTACATCGACTTCCCAACGTGATTTTAAGTGCAGCAAAGTGTATGTATAACATTTATCATTCAATTAACATCAACCGCAAGTGAGGAACAATGAGCAGAAGAACATATCTTATTGATAAACAAAAAGAATTTGTGTAGTTATGTAAACTGAAAGGTAAAAAAGCAATTACAGGAGCAAGTTACTTACAATCTCAAATGTTTCTATATTGAAGGCTTTGAACACACTACCACAGGTACCATCTCCAAGCTCCTCGGAATTCTATACCTAAGTAAGAAAAAAGAAGGTAGCAAGCTATAGTACCAAAGAGATACAAGCTTCAAATGAAAACTTGACAAATTTTACTGATATCAAATAAAGTGGCAAGAAACAAACCTTTCCATTCTTGCTCTTGTAGCAGATGACAATCAATGATTTGTCAATGTAGTTCTAGAAACCTCCAAATAGAGGTATTTACAGTATTGTCAAAGGCTGGATCACTAGCTTGCATATATGGTTTACTGCTAAACTGTAGCATGAAATGTAAGATACTGCCAGGAAAAGACTTTTCATTGTAAGAAGGATAGAATATCAGCCAGAAATTTATCAACATCCTCAACTGCAGCTTCTACAAGCTGCGGCTGGCACTTATCATCTAAACTCAATGAATCTACGTGACATCAAAAGGAACTCCAGAACAAGTGTAAAACTTCATTTGTTGATCCATTTTCTTTACACTCAGCTTAACTGATGCACCATATATCAAAACCAGGTTTGGGCTGTAAACAATCACTAAAATCAGCATAACTTTGCAAGACTAAATTGGTTGACATAAATTATGATCTAAAGAAAGAAACAGACCAACATATTAGACAGACATCAATATTTGGCTTAGTCCTGTAGGGCTTGTAAAACAAAAATACAAAACAAAATTCTGTCCAAGAAGATTGTAGCACGGTGGTCTAGAAATAGAAACAAACGTTAACCGAGGGCCATGTATCAAATTTCAGGGAGGTCAGAAACAAAAAAAAGCAGTATCATTCTTTCCCTCCTAACCCGCTTTTAGTAATTAATCAAACTAAGTGTTCTGTCACAAATGAAATCTCTGGGTTTCAATCAATGGGAGTTTTGCAAAAAATACTTCAGCAAATTCAATCAGATTTCCTACATGTAAAGCCACTGAGACAATTCATTATCCACATCTTATCCATAAAAATAAAAATAAAAACTAACACAAACAACACACACAAAAAACAACTTTAAAAAAAAAAAAAAAGTGGGCTTGCTGGAAGTCATCGATTTTCTAAAGCTGAAGATGATAAACCAAACAATTTGAATTGAAAATAATAAAATAAATCATCAAAAGAGTAGGAGGCAGAACCTTTCCCTCAATAAAAGAAAATATCTGGAATCGAAAATTGAAAAAAGAATTACGAGGGCTCTGACAGCGAATAAAATCAAATAGCCATCATGTTTAGCAAAAGAAAAGAGGGAAAGAAACATGTACGTTCTAATTTTTCACCGAGAAAAAAGCACGTAGTTCGTTATAAAAAAAAAATAAAAAGAGGGGGAAAAACATGCACGTTCTAATTTTTGACCGAGAAAAAAACACGTAGTTCGTTATAAAAAAATGAAATGTATAAATCTGAAACTATGAATTTAATATCCAACGAACTGTGGAACTCAGTTATGTTCAATTCAATCGCAAAGGCCATGGTCAACTTTAAATTAGTCTACTCTTTTCTACAACTTTAATTATTTAAAAAAAAGCAAAAATCAATGAAAAGAATCGAGAGCTCTCGGAAACTTTTTCCCTCTCTTTTTTATCGTAAAACAAACAGGAAGTAAAACGAAAACTCCAACTGCATTCCAACGTGAAAGAAAAACAGGCTCAATATATATATATATTGAGCCCTGTTTTTCGGAACGACGATTATAAAATTAAAAAAAAATCACAATTTACTTTAAAAAAATCACAATTTCCTTTAAAAAAACTCACAAATTCCTTTTATGAATGCAAAGCATAATAGAAGAAGACGGATTAGGAGAAATAAATTGATTAAACTCACCTTCGAGACACAAGGGGAGAAATATCTAAGGAAGAAAGAAAAAGAAACAGATTGCCAATGTATATTGGACGTTGTTTAAAACAGTGAAAGTAAATAAACTCAGAGAGGGAGAGATTTAGATTACTGTAGAAGCTATATGAGAGATAATTCCGCAGAAGAAGGAATGGAGAAGAAACCAAGGAAAAATATATTAGTGATTAAAATATTTAAAAAAATATATTATAGTGTTTTTTTTCCTTTGAAAAAATTGAAAGTTGAAACAAAGAACGATGCTTGGTTGTGGTGGGGAAGGGATGTGGTCCAGAAGTAATATAATATTATTTATTTATTGAATTACTGGACTGTCCCTACAGATCTTTATATATTACGGAATTGCATTTTTCATGCGATTGCCCTGAATTGATGGATAAGGGGTGACGTGGACGGCAACTTAAACGTGCGCGTCGAGTGCGGGACTTAAGCGTCATTAAAGGAAAAGTATATGGGTTTCTTGTCCGAAGGAAAATTTTGAAATGCAGGTTTAGCGTGTGATTGATACGGTTCGGATTCGGCTTGTTTCTTTGCGTGTTTCGGGGCTAAATTAAGGATCGGTTCCTCTTTTGGGGTGGAATTTGGAATTACATCCACATAGCAGCATAGGCTATCCGTGCTACCGTGGTTAATAGTCGACACTCACATTTAGGTTTTATCAATTTAAGCACTAATGTTTATGTTTTACTCTAATATAGCCACCACGTTGTTAATCCGTTAACGAATTGCTGACATGGTATGGACAGACCGTAACGATGATGACATGGACGGCTTAGTTAAAACGATGTAGTTTTTATAACGATTGTTGGTATTCAAAAAATGACGTAGCTTTAATCGTGACTTTTATATTTCCTAAAACCAAATAACTCATTCAGTAATCAATCATTATTCCTAAAAAATGTAACACCCCAATTTAGGGGTTAAATTTAAGAAAATATAAATTGGTGGATTTAATTTGGTATTTTGAAAGAAATAAGGGATTAAATTGTAAGATTTCAAAGTTGACAGACCGTTTTAAGAAGTGCAGGAAGTTCAATGGCTAAACTCTTGGTTTAGCCATTTTTAATTATGAGATATTATAAACCCCGCAGACTCCCGTATGTTTCTGGAAAATTTTCCAGTTTTCCTCTCTCGTTCTCCTTACTTCGAACTCCGATCTACTCGCCGTCCGACCTCCGATCGACGAGCTGAAACCACCATCGTGTTCGTTGCCAACCGAGGAACAAAACCCCTCAAACCTTTCGTCGTGAATCATCACCGTTCGTCGTGAATTTCAGTTGGAAGTATCGTCGGTAATAACTCGGTTTTAGTTGGTTTTTCATCGATTCACGACGATCGGGTCATCTGTTTACGACACCTCCCGCACCATCGTGTTCCTTGTGCCGTTCCGAGTCCACCGGTGTTCTTCTTTTTCTCCGGCGGCGGCGGCGCGTTGGGAGGTGAACCGGTCAAACTTCCCGATTTGTTGAAATCGAGCTCTCCGCCGTTCAAAATTGTGAACCGAGCTTTGTAAGTATCTCGAAATCGCTCAAAATAATTTTTAGAAATTTTTCCGGGATTTTATCACTGTTCACGCGCCCCCACGCGCCGCCACTGCGCGTGGGGAAGGAAAAAGTGACCGGTTTGACCGGTTTTGGAACTGTTTTGACCGGTTTGACCGGTCACAACCCGACCCGACCCGTTGACCCGACCCGACCCGTTTACCTGACCCATTGACCCGACCCGACCCGTTGACCCGACCGTTGACCGTTGACCCGTTGACCATGGACCGGAGTTGACCACTATTGACCAAAACTTTGACCGGCTTTGATTTGGCATTAAACGACCTTTGACTTCGACCGAGTATACCTATCCTGACATTTTTCGACGTTCCAAATCCGATTCCGCTGTCCGTTTTTCGAAATTCGAACCCTAAGGCCTCGTAATTGTCAGTCAAACCCGTTGACTTTGATTTTGACCAAAAATTCCAAATTTCCGAAAAGTCATATTTTATGCTTTCGACGTCCTGAATCCGAATCCGAAGTCCGTTTCGCCAAATTCAAACCCGGTAAGCCGTATTTCACTGATTTATCACCCGATTCGATTCGTTTATCGTAATTAAGCTCCGTTTCTGATATAATTTATGCTGATATGTATCTGAGGAATTATTGGAAGTTGAATTGAAGATCAAAGGCGTTCGAATGGAATTTTTATGGTCGATCAGTATTACACGGAAATCGAGGTAATACTTTACTACCTCTTTATGCTTTATGGAACATGTTGATATTGGTAAATGCATGAATAAGATAATGTTGGTCACTTTTGTGGAGTTGAATAATTTATTCACTCGATATGAATGTGGTAGAAATTCTGTAACTGAATACGGATCGAATGACTAAGATAAGAGATTGATAATTGTTAGAATTAAATTACAAGTTTGTGATTGGTGATAAAGAAATCAGCTCTGGATTTGTAACTTATATTTTATATCATCAAGGGTTAAATGTTAAAGATACTTGGATGAAAAATTATGAGAATACTCCGATATGGTAAAAATTACGAAATTACCCTTATGTTGGAAAATGATAAGAATTGCCCCTGGAAGTTGGTTAATAACTCTGAAAAGACATATTGATCCGATATAACTACTGATGTGCATAAGAAATGTTAGTTTATTTGGAAATTATGGATAACCGGTTTTAATCCTATGAGAGTTTGTGAAGGAATCATTTCAAAATCAAAGAATGTTCGGGAAAGCAATTGATCATAGGATCTCTAAATTATAATTATTTTCGTTAAGTGCTAATATTGAAATTATTTGGTTAAGAAATTACGAAAATGCCCTTGAGAGATAAAATAGTCTGAATTGACCCTGAATGAGAGAGTACTTTGAGGATTTGTACTTAACTCGATTAAGTACGAATTTAATTGTTAAGATCCTGTCTTTGTACAGAAAAAATTTATAATATTCCGTTTGTAAAATCTGAGAAGACACTTGACCCGAAAATATTCGAATAAGGGGTAAATACTTGAAGAGTAATTATTGGAGGTATTCTGCTGACAGAATTGTTCGAAAGGACTGAAGTAAATGATAAGATTGAATTAAATAATAAGACCGGATGGAAGGAAATGATTGAAATATTCTAGAATTATAAATGACCAAATTACCCCTGGAATGGAAATAACTCAAGAATGTCACCAAGCTCAGGAA